TAAAATGAAAGAATATAAAAGATTAAAATATTACACTGATATCATAATACCTCAAAGCTTAAAATATAGACTACATTTCCTGAATTAGGTGTCCTCAACTTCTAGCTAATCTTACCATAAGAATAAATGGACACCTTCCAATTGAAAATGCACCTAGAAAATTCAATGAGACTGTTTTAACTCACGACAACATGGGTGCCACAAAAGAAAAAACAGCATAGTGCAAGGAGGAACATAAAACATCTTCAGAAAACACCCAGGAAAGTAAATAATATTCCATTACCAGTTCAAAGCGTTTACAGTATGCAAAGATTTCTAAAATTTCCTAACATTTCTGCTTTGAGCAGCTTTTAAGCATACCTTGCAGTGGTTTTATGGATAAAAGACATGAACATAAAACTTTAAGAGTTGAAATACTTTCCAAATTTGAACTGTAATCTTATAACCAGCAAAGAATGTCCTGCTTAGCAACTAGAAAGTATTATGTGTAGTTCTCAATTCTTTAATGCCACAGAAATTCATATCATTTTATGTGATCCTCAGAACCATATAAATGTAAAATAATATATTGTGTCTACCTAAAAACTAAAAAGTATTAAAAAAAAGAAATTGACTTATATCATTATAAAATACTGCTTTCTATAGGAAAACTTTAGAAACTTAGAAAGATCTTTTACTTTTTTTATTTTCCTTATCAAATACATAGAATTAAGTAAAATTCGAACACTTTTCAAAAACATTGTCAGATTTCTTCTAGGACACCATGAAGACATTTGCAGTGTTTCAGATTCATATAAACATCCAAATTCTAAAAATGAACATTTTCTAAACATGGTCTCAAATCAATGTTATAAACTTCTGAAATTAACACATACCTGCTTCATTGTTGATTGGGAACTCCCAGAGTTTCCCCTCCTTTGTCCACTGAATCATTTCTTCAAACCCGTTCTGATAGGGCTGTTCATTTACTGCAGCTAGTTGCTTAGCAAATTCCACATCCCAAATAGAAGGTGATGTCTCTGTATCATAAAAATATTTTAAGAAAGCACAAGTCAACATAAATGTATTTCTTCTTTAAAATGCTATAATCAATTCTGATTTGACAATATATTTTCAGACACTGATACTCACAACTAAATAGTATATAACAAAAGTGGAGAGCTAAAACTGCAATAAAAATTATAAAGATTATAACTATAATAATGGTAAGCTTTAATTTCTATATTACTACAATTCTGAACAATTACTGCTCTATTTCAAAGGAAAAAAGGAATTTGTGTTTTGTTCAAGGGTGTTTTCATGAATATGAATATCTTTTATATATTATGTCTTTTCTGGGGGAGGGCAGTACTAGGGATTGAACTCATGGACATACTACTTCTGAGCTCTATCTCCAGCTCTATTTATTTTAAGACAGGATGTCACTAAGTTGCTCAGGCTGACCCTTGAATTTGGGATTCTGCTGCCTCAGCCTGACTTTCTGGGATTATGGGTGC